ACAAAGCAAGCTCAGAACTAATAGGAAACCCTAGGGCTATCGAGTTCCTTTATTTCCTTAGAGATCCTCCCTGCCTCAAAGCTTGATGAAGCATCTAAATTCACAGATGAACACTCTGCACCAGGGACAGTGTGAGAGTGGTTTGTTTCTACAGCTACTGTTAGGTCCAGGATCTTCACTGACATCCATAGTCACTAAACGAGTGTGTGAATTTGCACTTGTAGCTAATTTTACTAAGTATTTTAGAGTTAAACCTCAAAGAGTATAAAGCTATGAGTGTTCTGGTTTATTTTGTAGTTAAACAAAGGGGTTTTTGGTATCTTTTTCAAATACCTTTGAAACCACAGACTGTCAAACAACACTTACACAGTGAAACCCAAATGGGTAGATGTCTTTTGAACAAGTCCACATGGAAAAAGTGTCTTAAATATATATAAGTTACAACAGTAAATATGTACGACATCAATATGATACCTGAACAGTAAAAAAACCAAAGAGGAAGAGAGGTGGTGTGATTTTATGTTTTATTTGTACAATGGGGAAAGGGGTCAAAAAAAGAGGAATCAAACTGGGGCTCATAGAAAATTGCCTCCTTCATTTTATTTGTTGTAGGGTTCATTAGTCAAGTCTTCTGCTGCATTTATGCACATTCCCTGCCCCTCCCCTGAGCTTTGCCTGCTGATACCACCTAAAGCTGACTGATGTAATTCTCACTTTCCATGTGCTGTAAGCTTTAGCTATGTTTCTCACTATTTAAGTCTGAAGGATAGAAAATAACTCTTGCTATTAGAAATAGGTTGTGAGCTTTGACTTGAGTCAGTAGTGGAAGAAGAAAGGAGCAGAAGGATGATGAAGAGGGCTGGGCTGCTTTGCCACAGGCTTTCTGTACCACTGAGCCAGTCACTTAATCTCCCTGTACCTGTTTCCCAGCCATATGCAGAGATAATAGCTTTTTCTTAGCTTATTGCAGTGTTGTTAGGATAAAGACTTTGAAGGGATTAGGTCCTGTAGCTCGAGGCTTTAAAAAGCACTTTGGGTGGATAAAAGAAGGTGCTGAAAGCAGCCATAGAGGTCCTAATGCAAACTGTACCGAAGTCACAGTGGTGACCTGGCATCCTCCTGGTGTTTGTAGTGTGCATGTCCCTTCCCTAGCCTGACCAACGAAAAAAATTCTCCTATGTAGCTCACACATATGAACAAAAATGAAAGTATGTGTCAGGAAGTTTCCTTAGATACACAATCATTCTCAATATTCTTTCAGCCAGTGCTGAAATGAAAAACAGTAACACTGGATATCTCCAATTCTCTCTTAATTAGAATTGCATCTCCCTTTAACTGTCAGAGCTAAGTAGTAAACTGCTTCCAAAATATCCAGGTGAGATGACAAAACACTTAGTCATGACTTTGACCTGCCAGTTTCAGGCCCAACTGAAAGAAGTGAAGATGTCTGAGTCAGCTGAGACCATTTTGCTGAATCACTAAGATAGTGCCTAAATGTTTCTTCCGAGGTGGCTGCATATGTACACAGATCCAGCATCTGGTTTCAGGCAGTCAGATTGCTCATGTGCTAGGGGAAGCAAAATCTGGCATGGTGGGGAGCAAGATTGTTACTAGTGTTATATAAAGAGTGACCTAGCTGCTCAGGCTCTGAAGTATGTGGTACAGTTGTCCTGAAGTCAGTGTACTCATCACTCTCCCAGAGTTACTCCAGTGCTCTGACATAACAGAGTTAGTTGCCATTTAAGAATATTTGCTAGGGATTTATACTCTTTTTCACCAACAATAATAGAATTTTCTTACCCCTTCAAAATTAATTTGAACTGTTCTTGGGAATGAAGATTCTCAGCATCAATGGTAATTTTTTTCCTTTTCCTAAAAAAGAAATAGATAAAGTATCCAATTCTGATGGTTAAAGGCCTAGTGATGGAGCTTTCATATGGATTTTGCGTTCTTTTGTAGCTTCCCAAAATCATGCCAGACCATGAAAAATTGGACTTTAAAGTTGTGATGCTTCATGTATTTCAAAAAGAAGCTTCTCCAACATAGTGCTAATGCTTTGCATAAATTTCTTTCAATAATGCTGCTGAGAAATTATAAGCTGATATGACATGGTACAGAGGCAATAATAGAAGAATTATGTAAATGTAGGAAGAGTTATGTAAATGTAGTTCGGACTTTGATTCTAGAATTTTTGCACTAAGATATCCCAGAGAATGTCTGTGCTTTTGAGTGATGTAGGCCTTCAGTTCCTTTCTTTACTAGAAAACCTAGGTTCAGAGATAAACTAATGGATGCTGTGTGGGACTAGAGTCACATTAGGACACAGAGGTGTACTGCCTTCTGCTGCTGCCCAGCCAGGACACTGTCTACACAGCTTAAACACTGGTGGGGTTGAGCCAGGAGCATGGAGATCCCTCTGTCCTGTTTTAAAGTGCTTTGGGAGACCAGGAGGAGGAGATGCAGATGCAGGTATCTGTGTGCTTGAATTGTCTATTTTGGATATTACACAGAATATTTGGGATTGGAAGAGACCCTCAAGTCCAGCTCTTGGACCTGCACAGGACATCCCTGAGAATTGTACCAGGTACCTGAGAGCATTGTCCAAATGCTTCTTGAACTCTGTCAGGCTTGGGGCTGTGACCACTGCTTGTGGCAGCTCATTGCTCTGACCTCTGAGGCAGCTGCTGTTACTGTGTAAGGAGAGCACAACTCCCCGGACAAAAGGTTTGGAAAGAGCAGCTCTGCACTGCAGGCAGCACCCAGCTCTGGTTACTTTTGAATTAGATTTTATGTAATTAATTAAGATGGGTTTGTTAATTACAAGCTTGCTGTGCCTTACCATAAAGATTGTCATCTCTCCTTGCTAGTTACAGTAACTTCTGCTGGATGGTCAGGGCAGCTGTAAAAACACACCTTCTTCCCATGCATTCCTCCCTTGTGCAGGGAGCAGAGAAGCCCAAGGAAATGCAGTTGAAACCAAATTAGATGGTAGCAAAAATGCTGGAAGAGAACAAACTGGAAAATGTCTACTGTGAGCCAAATCATATTAGAGGATGGCCTAGGAGATGCAAAAAAAAAGATGGGACTTACTGGGGAGAAAGGGTACATGGCAGAGCACTGAACTTTTGGGTTGCCTCATAGATTTGACCAAGAACACCACTGCATTTATAAACTACTCTTACAGCAAAAACAAGTGGCAGAGAAAAATACTTCTCACACACTCCTGTTCTGTAGTCTCTGCAATGCAACAGTGCACAGCCCAAGAGAAGAGCTCTCTGAAGGTTTGTAGTAGTGACAGTGTTTCCATGGAAAAAAATCTGCTTGTGTTGTTTGGAAAAATGCCTGTTTACCTCTTTCACTGCAAGGAAGTTTTACTATTTCAATCTTAGCTCTGTTGTTGTACCAGAAACTCCCTTTGAAGCTGTTCATGCTGCAGGGAGAGCTTGTTTTGCATTATGTGAGTATGATACATATTTTAGTCAGATTTTGATCCTTTGTGACAACTTGGAATAAATCCTGTTGGGATGCTGGCCCGTGGCCATCAATGGTGTGTTTCCATTGCAGCTGGCAGCAGCATGCTTTTTTATATTTGTAAGAGTGGCTGTGAGGTCCTCAAAGGATGACTGAGTAGTGTATGCCTCACACTCTTTTTTTTCAACTGAAGCTTGATAATGATGTTCTCACCCACAGTTTAAGAAGTGAAGTGTAAGTCAGAGCAGTGCTGCAGGTCTGCAAACAGCTGCTCCATCTCTGGGAGCCTGTGAGGGTCAGTGTTATCCACAGGGACCTCAGCCCTCAGGCAATACTGTCAAACTGAATTTTGCAGCTTAAGGTACCTTTGGGGAACTAACGTTAGTGCCCCTAGGCACTCTGACAGTGTATTAATGAGGCCATAATTCCAGCAGCATTAATCAGACCCCAGGATGTAAAAGGGAATGATTCACTGAGAAACACTGTGTTCTCTCAGTCTGTCACTGTGGGAAGGCATTGGTAATGCATGAGTGGGATTTGTGATATTTTTCAGTTCACATGCTTGGGGATTTCCTCTGCAGCTTCAGGAGGGGTTTTATTTCTCTGCATGAAGAAGTGACAGGGGTCCCCTGAAAGAAGAGGTGAGGTTTCACAGGTTAAAGCGTGGGTGTGAGCAATGACTGGCTAAGGTTGAGGGACCCTGTTCGAGTCAGCAGGGTGATTTGTCTGCACGAATTGTTCACTGAGACAGACCAGATTTGTTCCTGGATTTTAAGGAGTCTTTGGTCTATTGTTTTAGAGCAAGCTGGGGAAAACCAGTGTTGATGCTTAAGAAAAGAGTTGATGTGCAGGAGACCAGGGCTCTGTTCACAGCATTGCTGCAAATATTCATCCAGGGTCTGTGGCAGATGCTCAATCCTGGCCACCTGCTCTGGTGGGGAGTTTGGTGACCACCAGTGTGGTGGTTAAGCACTGCTGAATGCTAGAGATGACTAACTCCATGCTGTGTGCAATTCCCACCCCCACTTCCTCCTCCCTTTCTTTCTCCTCTCCTTTTGTTTATCTCTACTTGGTTAACTTCCAGCCAAACACACAGAAACAGGGGAGTGCCTTACTCAGCACACCAAAAAGGAAGATAAGGTCACAACTCTGGCTCTTACTGCATCAACACAAAATGCCCAGAGCAGAGTTTGTTTCCTTGGTGGGACATAAACTCTGCCCTGCTAGTCAGGCCTATGATCAGTTTGACTACTGACCTAAGTAAGGATAGATATTCTGAATTGTTTGCTGTTTAAAAAGGTAGCAAGGGAGGGGAAGAGGTTTTTATAGTCCTATTGAGAAATAGTGTGAAAACTAAATGTGGTATGAGAAACAATGGAGCACTAGGGTTGTGATCCAGGAATGGAAAACATGGGTTGAACAATAGAAAAGTTCTTTTAAGAGGCAGATACTTTTGACTTGTTCCAGAAGAGGAGTAGTGAACAAGTAAAAATGGTTTCAGTCACCTATGTTCTCTGCTTTCGCTCTAGGTCTGCTCCAGCTCCTACCCAAGGTCCCACCCATGCTGGGGCTGCAGGGCCTCCTCCTGCTACCAGCGTGGCAAGCAACAAACGGCTGCAGCAGACACAAGCCCAGGTGGATGAGGTAGGTGACTCTGAGGGATTTGTTGCTCACCACAAGGGTGTTGATGTGGTTGTTGTTTTTTCTTTAAGATGCCTTCCTCCCTAGTGATCCAGCAACACCTCTTAGTCTGAAGGCAGTGGGTCTGGGAAATGAGGTCCACCAAAAATGGTGTTCATGAGGAGGCAGACAGTACAAGTGAGATTCTGAGCATAAGCACCACCTCTGCAGGATAAATGTGGGCATTGGTGCCAATTTGGGAATTCCTCCCAGTCTGTCAGGTTAGGAGGAAATAACAGAGTGGAAGCAGCTCTTTCAGTATGTTCCTGCATTCCTAAAGGTGAGACACTAGTCTCATTCACTATTTCACAGAGACAGACCATTGACTTCTCACAGACAGATTAAAGCCATAAGAATTGTGCAGCTGAGGGCTGTATTCATTATCTGGAGCTCTATTGATAAATCATCACAATTTATCCCTGAAGAAAGGCATCCACACATGATGTCATAACAACACCTTTAACAAACCAACACTCCTTTTGTTGGTTTTGGAGGACCATGTGTCTGTGCCAGCTTGGGTCCTTAAATTCTTGCCACACCTTGGCTGTAATGCCAGTGTCCACCTCACTGCTGTGGTCCTGGGAGTCAGTGAATACACCACTGCTCACGGCTGCAGTCCCTGAGCGTACCAGCACTACAGCAGCAGTACAATAATGTCCTTGCACACCTGCTGTGCAGATTTGTGTGCTGGGTATTAAGTAAAGAATTCTGTTAAGCCCCTTCAAAGACTTAAGTAACTAATTGCTTACTGTCCATGGGGAAATGACCGGGGCTTGTGTGATGCTTTAATGCCAATTTAATAGAACACACATTAGAAAATATGTATTTGCATGCATAAAGGCCTCCATTTTCAAAAGCTTCAGGTATGCTTTAAAGATAGTAGAGAAGACCTCATGATATCCAACTCAAATGCATTTCTTTGGAGGAATTAAATACACCTGTCAAAATGGGCTTCGCCTTGCTGAGAACTTTTCTTTGCTGAAGGTCTGAAACTGGGGCTTTCTAGCCTTTGCATTGCTGATGCTCAGAGCTGTTCACAAGAATATCCTCTGGATGTAGAAATGTCTGCAAAAATGTCTAGACCAGCTTCTCACATTATCACCGATTTTCACATCACAATGACTTCATTGACATTACTGGAGTGTCTCTTCCAGTGGGAAAAGAAATATTGCATTTCATCCTATGTCTTGGGTCAGGATCATGAGATAAACTTCTTGCCCTGTACATATTACATCATGGTGGTGCTGTGCTGTAATTTTTATGTGAGTGACAGCAAAAGTAACTTTCCCTAAAAGATGCAAAATAATTGCTATTTATTATCAAAAAATGAGTGATGCCTGTCAGAAACATAGGGCTCTTCACGCAGATCAATGGAGATGGCTCCAGTGAGGCTAGTGAACCCCTGCTTTGTGTACAAGATACTCTGTATTCTGAGACTTTTCAATCAGAGTCATGAATGCTTGTCTTCTAGTGAAGCATGATGGCAGTAACTTTACCCACTATGAGGGGAGAATGAGTATCTCTTGGTTTTGAGGATTATGTGGGTGACAACCAGGATCCATGGCTTATTTGCCTCCCATTTTAGATGGAGGCTGCAGTTGGAATGGGGTTTGAGTTGATAGCACATGGTCAGCAGACTTGTTTTACAGGGAAATCACCGTGCAAGAATAGCCAAGGGACACAAACTTTCAGAGCTGTGAAGTCACTAGGGTGAAACTGGCCTATAATACCTAAGGATCCGATCTGTAAGCATTGCTTTGACCTTCCTACTGGATCTTTCCTGGGGTTTTTTTCCTGTCTTGCGGGAAAGTCGTCCGTAGGTGGCACCAGACACCACAGCACAGTGCTGCACTCCTCGGGCTGCTCTGCCCCAGCGTTGTGCTGAGTGATTGGTCTTAGTAAAATCCACATTTTTAATGCTATATCCATGCTGATATAGCATTTCAGCTCTACATATGTTGGGTTTCCCCCTTTGATTTCTCTAGACATCTTAGTGCGTATTTTCTGTGGTTTTAGTGAGGACAAATATTTATTTATTTGACAAGAATACAGTGTCAACTGGACAAGTGTCCACTGCAGTCAGGTTAAATTCAATAAATACTTCTGGGGGAAAAAAAAGAGAGAATGGGTAGGAAGTATTATAGTATTTAGTTTCAGCATTTTCAAATAGTGTAATATATTCACTACAATACATTGTTCCAAGATAAAATTCATTTCTCAGTCTAAATACTGAGAAATTGATACATTTTTAAAAAAATCTGATATTGAGTTAAATGTTTGGAAGATCAACTAAGAAAATTTGGATTGACTGATGTTAACCAAGTTGTAGTACAGAGGTGCTTGTCTCCATCAGGTTTTTATGTCTACAGCTGTTGGCTAAAAGGAATAAAAAACTTCAATGAAACTAACTAGGGTATTTCATGATGTCTATATTTTACCTTTAAAGGCATCTGAGCACAGTATAGCTATGCTCATCTTGTTCCCACCGTGTCTGTTTCTGTAGGCATGGGTTGGTTTTTGAGGCACTGTCCAGGTAACTGCCATCACATCTCATGATGGCAAATGGCTGGTTTTAGTATGATATGTGACATTTCAAGGTGTGAACTGGTGGGTGACCTTCAGCTCTACTGTGTGTGGAATCTCATGTGAGGCTGTGCCTTTGCAGGTGGTTGACATCATGAGAATGAATGTGGACAAGGTGCTAGAAAGAGACCAGAAGCTATCAGAGCTTGACAACCGGGCAGATGCATTGCAAGCAGGTGCCTCACAGTTTGAAACCAGTGCAGCCAAACTGAAGAGAAAATACTGGTGGAAAAATTGCAAGGTAAGGAATATAAATTCTTGTTGAGAGTCACTTCATGGCAGGAATTACTTTCACTTGCATTTCATGGGGATTTGCTTGCAGACATCTCTCTTTGTCAAGGGGAGAAAGAGATGCCTTGCCCGTAAGTCAAGCAACTTTGATCTTTAGCAGAACTTATTTTTTGGATAATTTCTGCAGTATATAAAATGTAGATACAAATTTTGATGCTTCAGTCTGTGCCTGCAGATAGGGATGGGAAAGCATTCTGTGTTAATTCAGGCCAGTTCCCTGACATGAATTTTGTGAACCACAAAACCTGAGGAGGTGTAGTGAATTCTAGTGGTGGGAGAAAAGAAACTTTCTCCTTGTGGGAGATCATCAGCCTCTTGTTTTTTCTTTAAGATGGTAAACTATTAAAAAAAATAAAATTACTTGGTTCCACAACCTGCTATGAGAAGTGAAGAAATTACAGTCTCTTGTAAAGGGGCTGATTAGGATAGAGCTGGACTTTCATTAATCAGCTGTCTTCTCTGGTGTCTTCAAAGTCTGCTCTTTTCCTGAGAGCAGAGGGTATCTCACTCTCCTTTGCATTCTCAGACCTCCTCCAGTATTTGTGTTCTCTGGAGCCAGAAACTTCAGCTCCTCTTGTTCATCTAAGACCTTAAATCCTTGCTTCTTTCTACTCACTATGTCAAAAGTTCAGCTTCATTTCTGTTTCTCTTCAATAGCACCTTTGCTGCTGACTACTAACATTCACCCAAGTAAAACCACCTGTTCCCAAAGGAGAATCCCACAAATCTTTCCTGCTTTGTCTCTTCAATCCCCGGTGCTATGAAATGTAAATCAAGGCAAAATATTTTGGGTAAACTACATGCACAAACACCCCAGAAATAAGTGGATCTAGACCAGAAATTCAACTGAGCAGTTACTCTGGGCCTCTTCTAGCTGTTGCCCAGTTGATGTGCCTAAAAGTGCCAGAAGCAGGACTTTTGGGAGCTACAGGCACAGGTTTTGAGTTAGGCTCACCCATGTGACTGCAGTCACCACAACGACCTCCAGTACACTAGACCGTCAAACCTACCTTCGTTCTCCTTTCCTCATTGTCCCTTTCTGCTTTAATCTGACAAACAGAATCTCCCTTGTCCTTCCTCTGGCTCTCAAACTCTGGAAGGAGGAGCAGGGGGTGGAAATTTCCTGCAAGCCAATGGCTGGCTCTGTCCTCAGACATCTGTTAGGAGGAATGAAGGCCTTGATACAACATACCCATGTTTGTTTTTCAGTCTTTCCATTCTCACAGGGGTAATAATGGCACCTGGGCTGCAGCATCCCTGAGGGCCCTGTTAGCATGCAGCGAGTCTCATGTGGGAGCCTCTACCCCACACAACTCAGTGCAGGTGTGGTCTATGCACAGCTGCCTCTGCTGTACCTGTTCCTGTGGGAGCAGACTTCTGCTTTGCGATGAGCTGTTTCCAGGAAAACACGCTGCAAACCATGCTGGCTAGCATGGCCTTCCTCTCTCAACAGCACAAGTACACAAAGCAGCACAAAGAGCTGCTGGGTGTTAGATGTGTCCTGCTGTCTCTTCACTGACTTTGGGAACCTTGTGAAAAGGTACTCTGGTATAAAATGGTACACGTGTGAATGCAGCCACTTAAATTACCTCTGGAGTTGTTTTACATTGGAAATTTACTTTTCCTTTACTGCTAGAAATGGATGGTCACTGCATCTTTAGGTGATGGGCAAGAACAGGCTAGCTTTGACAAGAGGCTCTGTCCATCGCTTGGTGGTCAGCTGTTCTTAAAATTGACCCTAAATTTGGGGCCTTAATGAGTCTGTTGCAGTGAGTCTTTGCAAGAATTAAAAGTATGAGGAATGAGTCACTAAGCAGAAGCAAAAAATTGTGAGGTTAATGTCTCATGTGAAAACCTGACTTTATCTTTTTCTTTCTTGTAACTTTCTTTTTATAGATGATGATCATCCTTGGTGTAGTATGCGCAGTCATTCTCATTATAATTATAAGTGAGTAATTCATTTTCTCTTTTGTTTATGATCTCAATAGCTTGTGACTTAGAAATGCTGATATATTAAGAACCAAAACAAAACAAAAAAAATGGATGTAAAATATTTAAAGTGATCAATTTGTGAAAATCCCCTTCTAGTGTCATGCTTTAACAGTGAGAATTACTGCAAACTCTCTGGACACAGACAGGCAGAATTTGTTGACATTTAATGTTTTTTACATTAGCACATTACATAACGTTCCCTAGGATTAAAGACTCTCCCTTTTTGTGCTTTATATGAATTTTTATGTAGTTTTAGAGATCTTTCTTTCATTACAAAGAGTGACACAGTCCTGGTGTTTTCTACTAGAGAATAGTAATGCTTGGATTACCTCGTACCTATAAAAGGAAGATGAATGCCCACAGGCAAACAGGCATTCAATGAATTTTTTGAAAGCATATAGGTGCCTAGTTCCCACCAAATCAGCTGGAATTCGGTATGTTTGTGCTTCTGAAGATCCCTTTGAATCTTGAATGCCGAAATATTGTTAAAAGATAGCCCTAAGTCTTGCTCATTTCTTTCCTCAAAAGACCATATCATTCCACACATTTGTTATAGGAAAGATAGCTATGAATGAATAATAGCAGTCATGCTGGTTGGGACACAGGGATCTTGTAATGACAGGAACTAAACACTTTATTTATGTAACCTCTGTGTTAGCAACAGCCATTATGTGACATAACTGCAATATGGCATTAACTCCTAAAAGAGAGATATCTCGAGTTAGACAACCAGCTAGTAACCCAGAAGAGATTCACTAGAAGGCTGGACTGTGGATGTGAATTAATTCCCAGCTCTCAAATTACATGCCTTGTATTCAACTTGTTTCCATTTTCCTCTGTTGCTTCTGTAAAGGTGGCTTACAGAATCACCTGTAAACATGACTAAATGGAATGAGATACATGTGACAGTTTATTAGTCTTATGAATGTTGGCACCAGAGTGACCCAGAATAATTCTAGGGTTTCGTAACACTGATACAGCAAAATGAGAAATGGTTAGATATTAATTAACTATATTAACTGGGTACTTGAGGCAACTGGCTTCAAGAGAAAGATGGGCCTTGGTTCTGCAGTCTAGTGCAGCAACCAGGAAAGAGAAGTGCAGCCACTGAACTATTTGCTGTGTATATACTCATCATTGAGTATATGTGTATCTTAACAAGAAAGTAAAAAGCAGTCAAGATAGCTCATAATTTCTCCTTAGAAGTTAAAGCTGAAATTATATAGAAGCAAAAGCATTGTTTCCCTCCTGGTTTTAAATATTGGATGTCTGTCCTGCTGTGTTAAGAAACAGGCAGAGCAGGTTTGACACGGGTTAGGTTGAGTTTAGGGTATTTAATCACAAACTTGAGTGTCACATCATTAAACCCAGGTCATGGATCACGATGACGAGATCTAGTGAAAGGTCACTGAGATTGAAATGCATCTGGACCTCAAATTATTTTTTCAGTCTGCTTGATTCCTCTGTAATAGTGCCTAAAGGTTGCAGCTTCAGGAAGGACCCTCTGTATTGAACTTACTGATGTATTTATTTACGCTAGCTCTCAAGTATATGTTTAAATCCTATAGACATCAACCATCCAAGTGCTGTCAGAGACAAGGCCTGCATGGCTTCTCCAGTCCCTGATTTGAATGGGAGCAAGATCATATCCTACACGAAGGGCTGGCTATAGATGCAGATAAATTGAGTTGTTCCTCACAGCAACAAGCTACCATGGGTGGTGAAATGGCCCAAGCCAGGCTTCCTGCCATCCTGGTAGTGGGGCCTTGGAAAAGCAGTCTGGTTTTCTGCTAAGTAATGCAACACACTGGATTGCAGGTGTTGCTGTAGCTGAGGATGGCAGCTAACATCTGTCCTTGCCCTGTCCTGTGCCCTGCTTTCCACTCCATTTTCCCCCCCTGAACTTGTTTTGACACGGGAGGAGCATCCCCATTTCTTCTAGGAAGTACTACTGCGTGCAAGACGTGCCATGCTCTTTCAAGTAAGATGTGCTAAAGACGTTTGCCACTCTCTGACAGCACATGCTTCTGTGAGATAAAGTGCAACAGTAACTGTAATAATTGTTGGGTTTTGTCTTTCTTCTTTTTCTTTTTTTTCCCCCCCCTTCTTTTTCCAGTTTATTTCTCCACTTGAAAAAGCAAAGAAGGAAGACTTGGCACAACTTTGTTCATATCAACCGATGATATCAGTGTTCCTTTGTTGAACTCCGCTTTTTAATTCCCAGTGTCTTGGGATTTTTGCTTGTAATAACCCATAAGCATTCAGTGTGGTGTATTTTGGAATTCTGTTGTTTCCACAAGAAACTGTACCAGCTAAATACTGCCAAGTAGTTCCATACACTGTCTTATCACTGTGTCTTAAAATGTGTATGCACTGACCTTCAGAAACTGTAGTATATGAAAAGCATCCTAAAACATCTCAGAATCAGAGAATGCAGCCATGGGGAAGCTCCTGCTTAAAGGGGAACTGTCAAGTGGATTGGACCCAAACCTAAGGTTGCAGCAAACATTAGGGCCAAAATTCTCAATATGAGCACCTGAAGTTGGATGGCAAAATCCATTGTCAGATGTAATTTTTGGAGGTGGTATCTGCTACTCCCATTGAAGAGGGTGATACCTACAAGTATTTATGTAAGACACCGTATTTAAACTTAGCCAACCAAGCACAATTTTTTTGAGATTAGTTGTAGTATCCAAGTCTAAAACATGGCCTGCATAAAATAAATAGGACTGCTTTATCTTGTTTTATGGATTTAAATTTTTCCTCATGGGGTGTTCTGAATGAGCAGGATGTCCTCCTCAGTATGAAAGCCAGAAAGAAAACTGTATGACAACCAAAAAAGCATTATCTAGCACAATCTTGAAAAATCCAAGTGACATGCAAAAAAGATAATACAAGCATCATAAATCACTCAGATACAGTCTCTTGGTAAAAGGTAAGGCACTGTTTGTCAGTCTTTGTGGGATTGTCTTGAATGCTAATCCCTAACACTTAGGCCCTAACTCAGAGCATGTGAACAGCTTTGGCTGTGGCTTCCCAGCACAGTTGTAGGAAGCTACTTCTGCACCAGTTTGCAGAAATGGTCCCAACTATGAGGATCTTTCAAAAATCAGGAAGAAGGAGGTGTGGGGGAACAGTAGAGAAAGGCTGAGAAAGGGAAGCGTACCTAGCAAAGCTTTCCTGGAGAAGAGCAAGGCAGAGAAACACTGTTCAAAGTGGTGGTGTTAATAGGCTTTAAAAAAATGTATTTCAATTTGCATATGTGTATAGTTCATAAACTATGGTGTCATCTTTGTAAAGTGCTCACCTGAGATACCTATCATACTCTGTTTAAACTAACATTCAATGTAATGAAGAGAAATTATATCTTGTGGCTTGAGAGAAAGTTCTTGTATGCTCTTGTGAATTTCTTGTTCTTTTCTTTTTAAAACACTGAATAGTTTAATCATAGTTAACCAAACTAAAAAATGAATTGTCAAATTTTGAGCCAGAACATTCAGAAAAGGTCTTTATAGGATAGTTAATTCTAAAAAGAATTCATGGAATAAAAAAAATAATTTGGTGGGGTTCTTTTGTCTGCAATTTAATTTAGTGGAGATATTCCATCCTTGGAATATCTCTCTTGACATGGTTTTAGACTAAAAAACCAGAGACCCAGACCAGTTCATTGCTGTGGATGTAAATAAAAATTGTGCTTAAATAGAGAGAATAAGTAATGATCAATTGAAAGGTTCCAGATGCATTTTTCTCTGTGTATTTATTACTTCATAGTCATGTGTACTCTTTGATATCAAGTAGTAAGTGGCCACAGTCTTAATGAAACTGAATGTTCAGAGTCACTAATGTGCTCCTGGACTCCCTGGTTTGCTCTGTTCACTGCAGTCCTGGGTAAGTACGTAAACAACTCTGAAATCCTCATGGGCCAAACAGAAAACTTTGCTGTCATGAAGGACCTGACTCAATGAGGTGACACAACGAGTGCTATGTATGATTGAGCCTTCACTGGAAAACAAATAAGCCATCCAACTTCAGGACCCTTTTTAAACTGCTGAGTTAATTGGATAGCTGATATGAAAGAATGATCTCCTAAGAGTGAGACCCTGCATACTGTACCCTTGTTGAGCATGGCTTTATCCTCATAGGGCTTCTCTGCTGAAAGGACTCATGAGATGAAGATAGCATTCAGTGCAGACGTACAATCAGTAAGTGCTGATACAGAGCCTTAATGTAGATGTTCCTTCTCCTATGAGAGTCTGAACTGACTACTTAGCTGATACGGCTGCATATACACATCAAAGAGTTTGATTCCTCTAGCTACAAAGGTGCAAAGTTCCTAAATGAAACTAGTGAAACTGCTACAAGGATGTAAAGCTTACATCCTCCTAGCTAATGTAGCTCAAGCAAGCTAATAATCAAAGTGGGAGCTTTAGGTGAGAGTGGACAAGAGAAACTGGTGGTTGTAGAATGTGTACTCTCTCTCTCAAAACAGTAACTATTGGGGATGACTGCTAAATGTTAGTGAGAATTTGCAAGGAAGAGTTTAGTCAAGAAACCTACCCCCTAGTGGATTATAAAATGTTTGTGAAGAGACTATTTCCTCCTGTGTGCTAATGAAATATGCTCAATTAATATGTTTGACTTGTCAAAGTTGTTTGTACCTAGTGTGTTCTGGAATGCTCAATGTTTGCTGCTAGTTGTGCTGTGCTGGTTGGTTACAATTGGTAAAATAAGTCATGTGGCCTTTCTAATTCAGCCCAGGAAACATGAACAAGTATGTCCTTCCCTGATGCACAGACCCAGAGCTGAACTGCTACTGCAGAGGGTTAAATCTTCAGCAAGGAGAGTATGGTAATACAGCACTGTTAGGGGTCATAGGTTGTGCAACACCATCACATATGCCTAGGCTGGTACAGAGGACAATCTATATAAACAGTGTTGAAGCCACGACTGATTGCTTTCCACTC